GATGACCATGAGCTACTTGAAAGCACCGGGAAAGGACGACTCACAAATACTGCAGAATCAGTTTAACTGGACTGAGGGTGATGTGACGTAAGTTAAACACGTGATCACTGCGGTCTAGCGTGAGCCCATGGTTATGGGGAAGGGGCGCACCGGTCTTATTACAGAACATGATGAAATAAAAAGGGGCAGAGGGCGGTATGTTAGCTCCTCTTATTTTTACTCTCCTCTCCCTCCCTCTCTCCCTTTTACTTCCCAAACGTTCCCTCAGCGGCCCTTTAATTATTCAACAAAATATTAAGGAATCTATAGAACAAATGAATGAGTAAACAGTTTAAATATGACGAAATGCTCAACAGACATTTTTAGCATGTATTACGTACAACTGACCTGTATTAATGAAAAGCCCTGGTACGATAATTGTGCAATGGAGTGGAAATGGTTTTTGACGAACATGGTTTTAACACTAGACTTGCCAATACATTGAATGTTGTTTCACCCAAGCCTGTTTCAAGAATTGTTTTAGATACGCTGGTGATAAAATCTGGAATGGATTACCTTTTGCTCTTTAAGATGCTAAATCTATCGATGTCTTTAAACGTAAATACAAGGACAATTTTTTTTTAGATTGGGTACTTTAGGATAACATAAAAGTCAACTGGCTATTTACAATCATGTACAGGCATGCGAAATGATAAAAACATCACGTACTAGTAGTCCACTACAACTCAAATATACATTAGTTTTAATGGAGGCTTAACTTTTCATGCTTGGCTGCAGTTACATATTCATATTTAGACTTAATTTTTATCAAAGATATAAGACCATGACAATTTGGTTTTGCATTCCTAAATTTGCAGCAGTGTATAGAATCTACTGACAACACGCCTTGCCAGCGCGTCAGTATATGGCAAAAAGCCCTCATGACAAAACCAGATAGATTTTATACTTAGTAACCAGCGAGGGATAGTCAAAAACTGTGAAGTCATCACCAATGTAGATATTGCAAGTAATCATAGAAAGGTCAGAGTCAATGTAAGCATCAACAAGAAACTAGCCAGGCTTAGATTCATTCAAAATAATAGGAAGACACGGATTAACATCATGAAGCTGAAGGAAAAGAAAGAAGAATTCCAACTAAAGCTTCACAACCGCTTTGATGGATTAGAGTTGGAGGATAGGGACATTGATAAGCGATGTGATATGGTGACATCAGCAATGCTAGAAGAAGCCAAATCTGTAGCCCCAACTGAGAAAAGAAAGATAGTAAGATCGGAAGAAGACAAAGAAATAGAGGAACTAGATCAAAGAAGAAAGGAAATACGACTGAAAGAATCCAAGACAACAACAGAAAAAGCGGAGTACGCAGAAATAGTCAAATTGGTGAAAAAGAAACGACGCCAAAGGAACAGACGAAAAACTTCTAAACTCATTTTAGAAACTCTAGAAAGCGGAAGGGGACCAAAAACAATACAAAAGATGGCAAGCAAAAAGTCTAGAATGAGCAAATTGAAGCAAAAAGATGGAAATATAACTTCTGACAAATCGGAACTACTAGAAATATGCGCCGATTTCTACCAGGAACTTTATGGTTCAACGAAAAAACAGTCGAAGGATCATATAGATATCTCATCCAGAAAATCAGACATACGGCCAATACTACAGAGAGAAGTTGAGGAAGCTGTAAACAGTATGAAGGACAACAAGGCACCGGGAAATGATGAAATAACAAGTGATATTATCAAACAAGGAGGGGAGGAGACAATCACACAGTTACTGAAACTATTCAATCAGATATTGGAAAGGCAACAGATTCCAACCACTTGGAAAGAGGCGAAAATAATTCTTTTATACAAGACAGGTGACAAAGCTGATGTAAAAAACTATCGCCCTATCAGCCTTCTATCTCATCTGTACAAGATCTTCACCAAAGTAATCCAAAATAGAATCAAAGATATATTGGACACAAATCAACCCAGAGAACAAGCAGGGTTTAGAGCTGGATTCTCAACAACAGACCACCTACAAGCTATACATCAACTAATTGAGAAGGCAAATGAGTACCAACTTCAATTATGCCTCGGATTCGTAGACTACCAGAAGGCGTTTGATTCCATCGACACACAGACATGTTTGATGCCCTACGAAAGATAAACATTGAAGAAGGGTATGTGCGAATCCTGGAAGATATTTACACCAACGCAGTAGCCAGAATTCACATTGATAATGATGTATCAAGGGAGTTCAAGATCCAGAGGGGAGTCCGACAGGGAGACACATTATCTCCAAAAATATTCACAGCCACTATAGAGGAAGTATTTAAAAACTCGCATTTAAATGGAGGAATAAACATTGATGGGGAAACGCTTACTGATCTAAGATTCGCTGATGATGTGGCCTTGATCTCAGAAGCGGATCTAGAGGGGGGTTGGGGGGGTTGCAACCCCCCCCCCCAAAAAAAAAAATCCGGGGACCATTTTTTTAAATCTTATCTTTTTTTTAAAACTTGTAATTTTATTTTATTCTATTTCTATGTATTTATTTCATTTATTATTATTATTATTATTATTATTATTATTATTATTATTATTATTATTATTACTATTTCTTTTTGGGGGAAGGGGGGGGGGGTTGGGCGAACAAATGTCACAGAGTCCCTTGCCCCCCCCCCCCCCATCAGCTTTTTTGAGGACACGGGCCACCGCCGAAGTGACAAGCTAGGCCAGCGTTGCCGATTCTCATCCCCAAAATCCCCACATTAAAAAAAAATTGGGGGATTGTTGAAGTCTTTGGGGATGAAAAATAAATATTTGGGAATGAAAATAGTATTGAGTTTTATGAAAAACGAATTTGGGGATTTTCTGTCAAAATTTGGCAACTTTGGGGATATTTTAAGTGTCGTTTGGGTGGGGATTTTGTGAAGATTTAACCTGGCAACGCACGCTGAGCTGGGCTGCTCATTTCCTGGATTACTTGTTCAAGTTGCTCACTTTTTTATCAGTCTGGTCTGAGTGTAGTGACAAGCAATATGGAAGCAAACAGGGCAAAGAAGTTGCGGCAATCCAGTCTCGCATCTTTTTTTACTGGAAGGTATGTTTGAATCATGCAAAAAAGTTGGCATACAGGGTAAATTACCATACATGGGGGTGTAATACGGACGTGTTCATGCACTGCTTTTTATGGTCTCCATAGATGCCAGGAAAACATCACTTACGGGGTTCAAATAAACACCCCCAAAAAAATCGGCTCGCCGCTTCACGGCTCGTGGACGATGCTCCGCATCGTCATTATTGGTCAACCCCCCCCCCCCTTAGCAAAAAGCTAGATCCGCCCCTGGATCTCAACACAAACCAAAGACTTGGAAGACCAGCTGACATGTCTCAACAGGGAGAGCAAACGTATTGGCCTAACCATGCACAAAGAGAAAACTAAATATATGACTATGACACAGATGAAAACATCGAGATAGAAGGTTGAACGTTAGAGAGAGTGAGCAGTTACAAGTATCTGGGACAAACTTTGAAAATGGAGGACACCACAAAAGAAGAAGTTATGATGAGAGTAAAAGCAGGATGGATGAACTTTGGAAGATACAAAGACATGTTGACCGATAAAAACATACCCATGTCACTAAGAAGAAGAATGTTCAACCAATGCATTCTAACAACTATGACATATGGATCAGAAACATGGTCATTGACAAAGGATCTAGAACAGAAGCTTGTGACTACTCAACGAGCTATGGAGAGAAAGATGTCGCATTTATCTCTGCGAGACAAAATCAACCACAAAGTCATACGCCAGAAAACAAAGGTTAAAGACATTATGGAGAAAGTCAGAGAATCAAAGTGGAGATGGGCTGGGCATGTAGCAAGACTTCAGGACAATAGATGGACAAATCGTTTAACACAATGGCAACCAAGGGTGGGAAAGAGAAGAAGAGGAAGGCAGAAGAGAAGATGGAGAGATGACCTAACATCATACATGGGAACGGCCGCTTGGACTAGGACAGCTAGAGACAGAAGAGAATGGAAATTTCATGAGGAGGGCTTTGTCCAACGTCTGGATGAACTATAGTCTGATAGATAGATAGATAGAATCTGTTACACAATAGGAAGAAATGTATACATATTGAATTTTGATAGTCCTGGGGACAACCAAACATTCATTCAAAATCTGAGTCACAAGGTCCGCGGTTCGAGACCCGCCGCGGCACTAATGTCCTTTGGCAAGACATTGATCTACATTTGCCACACTCAACCCAGGTGATGTAATCTTTTTAAGTTTTGAAGATAGATAATTTTCAGGACAGACCAAGTGGCTTTACAACTTCACAATATATTTAAAAAATGTTCAATTGAGTCTGGTAATCGTTCACACAGACTGCATAATTCAGTGTCAGACCTTTTTATCTTATATAAAAAGTCATTTGTGGCAATAGCTCTGTGGAATGATGTAAAGTAAAAGGAACGAAACTGCAATTCAATGGTGCCACTGAACAGAATGGTCATACATGTAAGTGTAGCAGCTGTCTGTGGGGTGCACACATTCCTACTACCGGTATGTGGCAGTATATGACTATTACAATACCAACTGCTGAACAGTGTCGAAAGTATTCCATTTATGCATGTTTCCATATTGTTCCGTCCCTAAATTAAAATAGAAATACACTTCCACATACATTGAGTTTGTGCATCTGTCATTATCCTTGTTCAAATCATATTGTTATCAATTTTAAACACATCCTTGTTGTAACTAATTCATTTACTTTCAGATACAAAAATCTGCAAAATATATATGGAACACCCCTTTGACATTTGTTACATATGAAGAGCTTCATTCCAAAAGGAGCTAAATCCATATTTTATCAAAATTGAGTTATTTGTCTTAAAATACTGATTTCCTACATGGGGACTGTGATGGAATACGGACTCAAAGGATTTATGTGACTTCTAGTTTAAACACGTTGTTGCAATTCAATGATGAAACAAAGGAGACATCCGTTTAACTCATGTTGGTTCCTTTATTGTGACACTGTCGTGGACCATCATTGGAAAGTGAAGAGAAAAATTCAACAACTGTGTGGGATAATTCCTGCAAAATACAACAAATGAAAACACTAAATATATGTTCTTGCAATACGTTTAACACTTAGGAATCCAATTTCCACATATACTCAAGTTCCATTCTTGTGTCAGTAAATCTAAATTTTATAGTTATAATAATATGCCAACTTTCAATAAACCATAAATCTTTAAAGAAGCATTAAATGCATAATCATAGACAAAAAGAATAATCAATAACACAAACAAGAAACTTTCTCAAGCCCTAAAACGAGACTAACAATCATGAACTTATCACGTTATCTCTAAAATGATATTCATCCGCACATTAAATCGTGCGTGAAGAGGTTCTCGTAACTAAGATACCTTCACACGTACATACGCAAGTAAACATAGTTTGGTCTTAACTTATTCAAAGTCTACCCATGCTCATAACTAAGTTAAATTCACATATCATCCCTCCTGACAACCATCAATTTTAAACTACTTTATCTTTTCACAAAGGAAAAGGTCTTCAAAAGACCGTCTTAACTATCAATCAAACTTTCAACGAATCCATGTTCGCGATTCGTTTCACGTCACTACACACATTCATATAGGCTATCGCTTCCATCGTGCGACTGTAATCTCTACAACTTGCAACTACTTTCAGTGGTATTTTAAAGCACTGTATTTTAAAAAATATAACTCAATGAATAAACATACCTTAAGGATTATCTAAAGAGTTCCCATCTCAACATAGAAATGCAGGAACTGCAAGCAAACTGCTAAACCGTTAGCGACTGTCGTCGCTGTTGGCGAACTGCCATTACGTAGATAACAACTCTCGTCTTCCCCTTCTTCTCCGAACTATTTCTTCTAGTCTCGTCACAAGTCTTAACATAACTTTCAGAACAAGAAAAGGGTCATTCCATGACATCCCGCCCCCTCAAACGTGACGGAAGTCACTAGAATACATGACAACTAGGTCAATAACATTACACTCTAAACAACTCTAAACAACAAAAGGGTGTGAAAACAATTTTAAACAATCTTGGATGCTATGTGTAGACTCATTTACTTACACAAATGTTTCTACCATGAATACTTTTTGCATATAAACTTAAACAACGTGAACAAGCTGGATGTGTTCCATAGTTAGGCACAATATTAAGAACGGGTGTCTCCAGTACAAATATTCAAAACATTTTGAGTTATTTACAGTCCATGCTTCCTATGGAGTTTCACAATTAACTTCAACTATCAATGCCCAATTATCCAGATGGGCAAACTATATTCGTAAACAAAGGTTCATCAGTTCAGTTTAGCTACATCAAACTAAACATCATCTCTCTCCGTTCTCTTCAAAAGAAGAATCAATTTGGTCACGGGTCGCTTGACAGTCGTCTTGTCTAACGAAGCCCGACAACGTGCACTAGTTCTTCGCGTCCTGCGAAAGTCTGAGTGATCTCTGCCATCCACCAAGTTCCACATCTCTTGTCCTCCCCGATGACCAACACGATGTCTTCCACCTCTACGTTCTCTGCAGTTTTCTGGTTCTTTGGCCAAGGAGAAAGTTTGTGTGGCTCAGCGAAATGCACATACATGTAGTTGCTCAGGTAGCTTAGCATAATGCACATACATGTAGTTGCTCAGGTAGCTCAGCGTAATCAGGTAGCTCAGCGTAATGCACATACATGTAGTTGCTCAGGTAGCTCAGCGTAATCAGGTAGCTCAGCGTACTCAGGTGGCTCAGCGTAATGTACATACATGTAGCAGCGTAATCAGGTAGCTCAGCGTAATGTACATACACGTAGCAGCGTGCCCAGGTAGCTCAGCGTAATGTACATACATGTAGTTGCGTAATCAGGTAGCTCAGCGTAATCAGGTAGCTCAGCGTAATGTACATACATGTAGCAGCGTAATCAGGTAGCTCAGCGTAATGTACATACATGTAGCAGCGTAATCAGGTAGCTCAGCGTAATGTACATACATGTAGCAGCGTAATCAGGTAGCTCAGCGTAATGTACATACATGTAGCAGCGTAATCAGGTAGCTCAGCGTAATGTACATACATGTAGCAGCGTGATCAGGTAGCTCAGCGTAATGTACATACATGTAGCAGCGTGCCCATGCAGAGAGGTGATGTGGTGTTTACTCTAACACCTTACTCTAAAACATCAATAGGAAGCACCACAAAAGAGCGTAGACAAATAGCTCGTAGAGGGGTGTCACAGATGGATGATCCGGTGTTAACGCTAACGCCAATCTTGAAATAATTAGTGTCACAGACGGGTGATCCTTTAAAACATCAGTAGAAAGCACCACAAAAGAGCGTAGACAAATAGCTCGTAGAGTGGTGTCACAGATGGGTGATCTGGTGCTAACGAGGGCAAGGGCTGACGTGCTGAGAATATTGATGCAGTGGCTGCTGGTGATGCTTGCTGGATGGTAGACTGAGTTCAAAACGTGGTATTTGCCTGTAGAGCTGCTTCCTGTGCATCAGGCCGGGTGAAATGCACAGGTGCTGATGCACTAATGGGATTGCGAGCCTCAAGGAACTTTCTTGCATGTACCATGCTCTGAAGAAAGGTTTGCTCGCATTCTGCCATCCACTGTTCCTCCTGGGCATATGCCTCTTCATCTGTTTTCCACCAGCTCATCATGTTTGGTTTCCACCTTGGTAGTTCTTCAGCATTAGGACATATCCACCGCATCACCTGTGGTCACCAACTTCTCGATTGCCGTCAAAGCGCGGGTAAGACCCCCTTTCGAATTTCAGCGAGGGAGTGTAAGCTTGTTTATGTCCATCATGTTTGAGCCCGTGAATCAAAAAGTCCAATAAAGACAGTTGTTGAAGATGTGATGGAATACGGACTCAAAGGATTTATGTGACTTCTAGTTTAAACACGTTGTTGCAATTCAATGATGAAACAAAGGAGACATCCGTTTAACTCATGTTGGTTCCTTTATTGTGACACTGTCGTGGACCATCATTGGAAAGTGAAGAGAAAAATTCAACAACTGTGTGGGATAATTCCTGCAAAATACAACAAATGAAAACACTAAATATATGTTCTTGCAATACGTTTAACACTTAGGAATCCAATTTCCACATATACTCAAGTTCCATTCTTGTGTCAGTAAATCTAAATTTTATAGTTATAATAATATGCCAACTTTCAATAAACCATAAATCTTTAAAGAAGCATTAAATGCATAATCATAGACAAAAAGAATAATCAATAACACAAACAAGAAACTTTCTCAAGCCCTAAAACGAGACTAACAATCATGAACTTATCACGTTATCTCTAAAATGATATTCATCCGCACATTAAATCGTGCGTGAAGAGGTTCTCGTAACTAAGATACCTTCACACGTACATACGCAAGTAAACATAGTTTGGTCTTAACTTATTCAAAGTCTACCCATGCTCATAACTAAGTTAAATTCACATATCATCCCTCCTGACAACCATCAATTTTAAACTACTTTATCTTTTCACACAAAAAAAGGTCTTCAAAAGACCGTCTTAACTATCAATCAAACTTTCAACGAATCCATGTTCGCGATTCGTTTCACGTCACTACACACATTCATATAGGCTATCGCTTCCATCGTGCGACTGTAATCTCTACAACTTGCAACTACTTTCAGTGGTATTTTAAAGCACTGTATTTTAAAAAATATAACTCAATGAATAAACATACCTTAAGGATTATCTAAAGAGTTCCCATCTCAACACAGAAATGCAGGAACTGCAAGCAAACTGCTAAACCGTTAGCGACTGTCGTCGCTGTTGGCGAACTGCCATTACGTAGATAACAACTCTCGTCTTCCCCTTCTTCTCCGAACTATTTCTTCTAGTCTCGTCACAAGTCTTAACATAACTTTCAGAACAAGAAAAGGGTCATTCCATGACAGGGACAAAATGCAATATATAACATTCAAAAATTTCACCAGGAAGTATGAAAATATTTAGGTACAATATGATGTTTCATTCCAAAAGGAGCTTAATCCAAATCGGTTTCATTCTAAAAGGAGCTAAATCCACTTTGGGTACTTCTGAGTAAATCACCTTTTTTTATTTCTCCACTTTACCTTTAGCCATGTACCTTCATGTTCTTATTTATGTTAAAGATGTCACCCTGGACCAATAATATATGATAAGAAAAAAATCTACCAGTTATTTTTGGCAAAAATTTGCAGTTGTCATGGCAACGCCTCATTTGACATACACAACACGGATGTCTTGCTTATTTGCACTTTAAGATCATTATGTGTACCAAGTTTCATCAAAATAATGTGATCAGCATAAACTGATCAGCACATTTTGGGAGAAGCAAGAGTTCGAATCAGGTCAACAAACTTTGGGGTCAGAAGTATCAAAACATGCGCGTAAAGATCCGACTCATGTGGTGTGCATGTGAACATTTTCTAGTACGGAAATAATTTGGCAAAGTTATGCGTGCAAATGAGCGCGCTTTGAATAGCCATTCTCGCTTCATTTTCCGTTCAAGGCAGTCGATTGTTTTAGAGCTGCAAAAAATAAAAAATAAAAAAATAAAAAAATAGCGAAATGGGAAAGAGAAAGACCAATGAGTGCGCCAATGGCGGTGCTAATGCCCAGCAGAAAAGACAGAGTACAGCTGAAAAGAGTCGGAAGGGCACTAGAGCCAGCTCAATTAGCAAGAAAACTAACAATTCAGCGCAAACTCCGGCCAGCAGTGGCTCACCCACAAGCATCAACGGACGGGCGAGGCGCTGTCGTCAGGCAAGCAGCACAGAGAGGGCACGGGCAGTGCAGTCTCGGCCGCTAACAGTAGACAGCGGAGTAGGCCTACCTGAAGCGATCCCGGCATTACCGGCAGCAGGCATCCCACCAGCAATTTCGAGCACCCCACCACCACCAGCAGCAGCCCTGAATACCCAACCATCACAGCCGGGATCACAGTTGCAGTTACAGTCAACAGGTGAGGTACGGATAGATCTAGATCTTGATCTACCCACTAGTACTAATGCTACTTCAACCGAAGTTAGATCTATGGCTAATTGCACAGCAATTAGTGCTGGGGTCGGTACGACAAGCCCCAGGCCACACAGAGGGGCAGACAATAGTCACATAACAGGGGCGAACCCACTTTTAACTTCGTTCCCTACAATCGTGCCCCATGTTGACTTGGAGTCGGGGAATCAAGGGCATGTCTCAAGAGGCATTCAATATAGATCTAGGCCAATCGGAAGTCAGTATGATAATAACAGCAGACCTAGCTACACAGGTATCGGTAATTCATCGGTCCACATACCGAGCATAGGTCCGGGTTCGCAGTAAATGACTCCCCGCCCCAATCCCCACTACGGCCAGTTGGAGCTGATAGACTAGGCTCGGCCATTCCCAATAATATTAGGGTGAAAATATGGAAAGGCGAGTAGACTCTATGTGGATTTTAATGTGTTAGTGAATGCCCAAGAGGTGACAGCACACACACACAGTGGGAAGCTAGAGACGAACAAAGGACGAATTTGGCAATGACTCAGGAAGACGGGAGATTGGTATTGAAACCTGTCAGCGCGACATCCAAGAATAAGATTGCAACCATAGAGTTGTGGACTAATGCATTTCTTGTGTATGCTAGCATTGTTTTGGAAGCAAATTTGAATTGCGCACAAGACTTACTGAAATACTGCCACCTTATTCGATCTGCTGCTTCGCGCTATTATGGGTATGGGTGGAGAGATTATGATATCGAATTTCGTCACCGCTACCACAAGAAAGGTGGATCTTGGGCAGGTATAGATGGAGAATTGTGGCTCCTTCATGTAGTGGGAGGGGGACCTCCTCGGGGAGTTCGTGGCCAAGACCGTCCACTCGGGCGATCGGCCCCATGGTCCAACAGGAGGGAATGGAAGCGAACATATAACCCTAGCACTAGCCAAACAAGGCAATTCCTAGGAGACAGATAGAACACGCAAAAAATAGAAATCAGGACAGGCTTGAAGGTGAAATACACAGTAACGGTAGAGATGTACAGATTACAGGACAGGTTATATCCTTGGGGAAGTCACCCATTAAAATAAAGAGCCTACAACAATTGTTAAAAAGCTACCCAAATGAGCGAGCAGCCAGGTTTTTGGAAAGTGGTTTCACAGAAGGATTTTGTTTGAATTATACAGGCCCTCGCATGCCAGTAGACTTACCCAACCTAAAATCAGCAGAAAATAACAAGGACATTACACAAGAGAAGATACGGAAGGAGATTAAGCTAGGGCGATACATAGGTCGCTTTGAGTCCAGGCCACTAAAAAATTTGAGAACTAACCCAATTGGCCTGGTGCCAAAGAAATCCCCGGGGGATTATCGATTAATCAATCATTTATCATACCCGCCTGGATACTCTGTGAATGATTTTATTGCAGATGAGCATTGTAAAGTGGAATATACTAGATTTGATACAGCGGTTGAGATGGTCGCCGAGGCTGGAATGGGAGTTGACTTGGCTAAGGAGGATATTAAGTCCGCCTTTCGATTGTTGCCTATGCACCCGAAAGATTTTGAGGTGTTAGGGGTCAAATTTGAGGGGAAATATTATCTCGACAAATGCTTGCCCATGGGGGTCAGATGTGCTCCAGCGTATTTCGAGACCTTTTCCACATTCATAGAATATTGTGTTCGGGAGCGAAGTGGCTCAAACGGGATTATACACTATGTTGATGACTTCTTGTGTGTTAGGTCAATAGAGCACGGGGGCGTGTCATGCCTCGAGATGGTACAAGTTCTCAAAGGAATCTGTGAGGAGTTAGGGGTTCCATTAGCGGCAGAGAAATCCGAGGGGCCTACCAAAAGATTGACATTTCTCGGGTTAAGCAAGGCCACAGGTAGAGGGTCTACTATTCTGTCATGAGAATGGCTCCCCCCTTACAAGGTACCAGTTCAGTGCAGTCCTGAAAAAGAACATTCAGCAAATTGGGGCGAATGTTAGTCGGTATGGGTCTCACTCTTTCTGAATTGGGGCAGCTACCACAGCTGCCTTGAATGGTGTGCCACCAGAACAAATTAGGAAGATGGGTAGGTGGCGCAGTGAAGTTTATTTGCGCTATATAAGATAAGTTACATTTACTCCATACTAAGTACTAGGGAGTTATTACAATTATGAAAATAAAGCTCACAAGAAAATTTTATATTTTGTTCTTCCCAAATATATGAACATGTTACTTTCGGGAGTTTAACTATTTTATTTCAGGACGAGTACGCAACCGAGTCTGGAAAGTGGGGGACAGTATCGTAAGAAGGGCCAAAGAGCGAGCCACTGCACAGAACCGCCTGCACATGGGAGCAGAGAAGGGTGCAGTACAGTGGCATGGTCAAGGAAGTGCTACTCTCCATGACCTCCCCCGAATGGTCACAAATAGGTTGAATTACAACGCACCACCTGCACTGGCGATCGTTCACCTGGGAACAAACGACTTGGGTCAGAGAGATGCATGCCGTTGCAGAATCGCAATCGATACAGCAATTCAAACTCTACGAGCAAGAATGCCAGGGACCCACATAGCCTGGTCTGGTATTCTTCCAAGATTGTTTTACTACGGTAGCAGACCAGGCCCAACATCACAAGAGGCAATGGATGGTGTGCGGAAGTCACTTAACAAATTCGCAAAGAGGAGAATCTCCCAGATGGTGAACACATCAATGATAGTGCACAATATAGATACCAAAGAGCACAGTCTGTTCCATAGGGATGGAATTCATCTCTCAGATGTGGGCTCGGACATGCTCATTGATAAATTCGAATCTGCAGCCAAGGACACTGGCCTTCTCTGAACAGATTCAGCCTAATGTCAATAGTATTCTATGAAAACCTAAAGTGAGCGATAAAAGTCAATTAGTTGAATTGAGTTATATTTGGGTTATTCCATGAGGTTGAGTTTGAAAATATAAGATGATATCCAGGTAACGGGAGGCATGAGAAATACTATTACACACTGAAAAGTAATTCAGTCGTGGAAGATTCTGATACATTGAATATATTGTAACGAAAACGGGTCTCTCACTCTCTGGGTAGCGTCACTTCTTCAGTCAGAACCCGCTCTTTCTCTGTACTCGACGTTCTCACAAAAATATATTGTGCAACAGACACTCTCCGATCAGCTTACAATCACTTAACTAAATTAAGTTACCAACACAGGAAATAATATGCACTTACAGATCAAGTAATGTTTCCAAGAACTGTAATAATCTGAACTTCCAAACAAATTAAGGCACAACTTCCTTCTCCCGCAGCTCAACACAAACTCCCCACAAGATTAACCCCACGTACGCGCATCGCAGTGCGCGACGTAACCATAGCAACATCTACAATAACAATAAACAATTACAATAACTAACGCCCTCTAAGGGCTAGGTAATGTAAATAACGATTTCGTTACACTACCCCGCCCCAAGTCTAGGCAGTCCTCTGACCAAAAACACAAAATCGTCTTAATACATGCTTTTGGCAAGAATGAGGCAAAATTACATAGATAAAACTTTTATACATTTATTTCAATTAATCATTCTGTCCTGCGAACAACATCTATAAATACATTTTTGCAATTAAAGGCCGAAAAATCCGCTGGAATACTTTCACGTATAGCAATAATTACATATAATTGTACAAGAACAAGAGTGGGAAAAGATCAAGTCCTTTCCAAATTTAAACTATTTCAACCTATACTATCAGTATGTACGCAGTACCACTATCCTCGAATAAGCCTGCAGTTAAACATGAGGTAAGAATTATGTACAAGTAATATATACACACGCATTATCATCTTTGGTGGAATAGATCATAGGAATTCATTCTGGCGTAAATATTCATATTTTCAATGATAGCGCCGTGAAAACTAAAAACAACAACAACATCAATAGTTACATGTAAGGAAAATTTAATCACTATAAGAGGAATATAAATGAGTTCCGCCATGAACTTCAATTGCAGCATAAAATACATACAAGAAAACAGGTTTCCAAGTAATTGCAATATTAATGATAGCTGAATTGATATACATGTATGAGTTAAACTTCTGGTAAGATTGCTCCAGCCTTCAAGTTAATACTGTAATTGGTCCTGATCTCTTCCTCCACTACCAGAATCCCGTCACAAAAAGATCGTCTTGTGGTGACTTCAGTAATGCTGTTAACCCGGCCGACCAGGGCCCTTTCCAGCTCCTGTACGGACATCGGAGAACCTAGCGACTGATCCGATGCGAGGTGATGCAACTTTGTAGGCGCCGGCGAACTTTCCTTTTCACACCCATGCAGGAAAACCACGCTGTACTCTCGTACCTTTTCCTCCTGAAAGAGCTTCTTGCCCCCGAGAACTGTGTTGAGGAAGACCTCTCTTCTACCTGCAGAGGGGTGCCCGGAAGAGTGCGTCGCAGATCCAACCCCTGCATTGGCCTTCCCATCTGGATCTTCCGAAACGTTGGGGTTGGGCAGTCCTCCACCTCAGCTTCTGATTCTGACGATACCGACGAGGTCTCACTTTCCCTCTCCTTTAACAGCATGCTGAGATCTTTACCGGTCGGCCTCGATGCATTCCCGTTCTCTGAAGAGAGTGTTTCCTTCGAAGCATGAATACTCAGCTCACCTGCTGCTACAGGGGTTACCACAGGCGCGTCTTGCCGCTTGTCTTCTGTTGTCTTCCCCTCGTGTCGACTCTGTACGTGCCTCGTCAGGTTGTCCTTCCTAAAAAAAGACTTGTCGCACCCTCTGCATTTGTGTTCCTCCCTTCTTCGATGTCTCTCTTGAATGTGTCTCTCCAAACTTCTCTTGTGGGAGAAGTAATGACCGCAAGAATAGCACTTCACGTTCCCCCTGGAATGTCGCATACTGGCTTACTGTAAGAGAATCGACACAGAGGACATCAGGTTAACACAAAATCGAGATCATCTGGATTATCATTCATCACAGATAATATAGTTGCAATGGGTTAACTATCTAATTAATAACTGTAGCGGATAGGCTCGTTTCTTTTCCTTGACGGATTTCTTCTAGGGGGTGGGACCGGAACTGTTCGTGGTGCCGGAACAGGGGGTGTGACAGGCTGGGAATCTTCCCTGTTCAAGTCCTCGATGTCCATATGCTGTGTCAGTTGGCTAGGAGCCTCCTGCTCATTTCCGTGAGCGTCCCTGCTTTCACTTGCTTCTAACCAGGATTGAAGAGGTTCCCCCTTGTACGGCTTCAACCTGTCAACATGGACCACCTTCATCTTTCCATTTCTCTTCGCCTGTATTCGGCAAGTAACATCTGACAATTGCCAAATTAACAAGTAAGGGCCCTCCCACCTCCTCTGGAGCTTCGGGGACAAGCCTTTGGTCTTTGCCTTGTTTTAGAGCCACACAAAGTCGCCCACTGCCAAAGGACTACCCCCTGCCTTGGAGTCATAATCCTTTTTCTGCCGCCTAGCACTTTCAGTGCAGTTCTTACGGGCCCTTTCGTGAGCTTCCCGCATGCGTTGCCTCAAGGTGTATGCGTAGTCTGTCTCAACATCATGCTCCTCGGGGTCCTCTAGAGCCTCTGTGGTCAGGTCTATTGGCAAATGCACTTCCCGCCCTAACATCAGCATATTAGGTGTCTCCCTTGTGGAGTCTTGGGGAGCACTACGGTAGGCAAACACTGCGATCGCCAACTTCTCGTCCCAATCTCGTTGTCGCTTATGGGGTTCAATCATCATTGAGATCATGTTGAGCAGAGTGCCATTAAACCGTTCAATGAGTCCATCGGACTTTGGGTTGTATGGGGTGGTGCGTGTCTTGTGAATGCCAAGGATGCCGCACATTTCCTTAAAGACGCGAGACTCGAAATTCCGGCCCTGATCCGAATGCAATACTTCAGGAACTCCAAACCTACAAACAAACTCGTTTACAAACTTGTCTGCAACCGTTACAGCGGTTTGATCTGGTATTGGGTAGGCCTCCATCCACTTGCTAAAATAGTCCCCTACAACCAGAATGTACTTGTTCCCTCTCTCCGTCTCGGGTAGCGGTCCAACTACGTCCATGGCGACACGCTCCATCGGCATTCCTACCGTATCTTGTTGCAAGGGGGCCCTCCGTTTCTTAGTTGGTGACTTCTTGGAGGCACAGACGTTGCATTGTCGAACTACGGACCGTATGTCTGCATCCATTCCGTACCAGTAGAATCTCATGCGAACTTTGGCTATGGTTTTGTTCATCCCTAGATGTCCGCTGGACTTCCCACCATGCAACTCTTTCACGACTTCTGACCGAAGTTTGGTTGGGAGGACAACATGCCAAGTGATCTTCTGACCTTGATCACATTCCCACTTTCGGTGAAGAACTCCTTGCTTGACAGCTAGTTGATCCCACATTCTCCAGTAAGACTTTTCGACACTAGACTTTGATGCCATTGAAGACCATTCAGGCCTGTCTTTTGATTGTTGTTTGCCGTTCAAGATCCACTTGATTGATGAATCTTCAGTTTGTTCTTGGTTCAGGTGTGCATTGGTGATACTTGGTGCTAGGGTAACCGCATTTACCTCTGCACGGCCATTTCCAGGTCCTGCTTGGACTTCGAAGCCTGCAGACTCCTCAACATCCCGTTTACACTGGGGACAAGGCCGTCTTGACAAACTATCTGCATTGGCATGCGAGCGACCAGCTCGGTGTATGATTTCGATATCATACTCAGCTATCACTTGAAGCCAGCGGGCCATCTGCCCTTGCGGATCTTTGAAATTCAGAAGCCATCGCAATGCTCCGTGGTCCGTCCTGACCGTAGTCTTCTGCCCATACAAGTACTGTCGGAATTTCTTCAAAAATTCTACGACGGCGAGCAACTCCTTTCTGGTAACGCAATAGTTCTTCTCTGCTTTGTTCAGAGCTCTGCTAGCATATGATATGACTCGTTCCTTTCCATCTACCACTTGAGATAGGACAGCCCCTATCCCCTCATTACTAGCATCCGTATCCAGGATATAATCCTGTTCTGGGTCTGGGTATGCTAAGATAGGCGATTGGTACAGCCGCTTCTTGAGTTCCTGGAAGGCATCTTCACATTCCTCAGTCCATACGAAGGTGTGGGCTTTCTCGGTTAGCCGATGTAGTGGCCGGGCGATATTGGCAAATCCTTCAATAAACCTCCTATAGTACGAGGCCAGTCCTAAGAAACTCTGGACGTCCTTTACACTAGTAGGGGTTGGCCACTCCTTGACAGCTCTTATCTTTTCTGGGTCTGTGGACACTCCTTCCCTGGACACTACATGTCCCAGATACAAGACACTCTCCCGAAATAGGTGACATTTCTTTGCTTTGAGCTTCAATCCTGCTTTCCGAAGACGTTGGAAGACCATCCCCAGTCTAGTCAGTTCTTCGTCGATTGTTTTGGCGAATACAATGACATCGTCCAAGTAAACCAAGAGTACTTCCCAATGCAGTCCGGACAGGACCTGCTCCATCAGCCTCTCAAAGGTGGATGGGGCGTTGCATAGCCCGAAGGGCATCACTTTCCAGCTGTATAGCCCTCCTCGAACAACGAAAGCTGATTTCTTTTTGGCTTCTTCATCTAGCTCGACCTGCCAATATCCTGAGGCCAGGTCCAAAGTAGAAAACCATTTTGCACCTCCAAGTGCGTCCAGCGAATCATCAATGCGAGGTATTGGGTAGCTGTCCTTGATTGTCAAGTGATTCAGACGACGATAATCCACGCAAAACCTTTTTGACCCGTCTTTTTTCTTTACGAGAACAACATTGGATGACCAAGGGCTGTCTGATGGCTCTATTCTGTCATGTTCAAGCATGTCTTGGATTTGACGATCAATCTCTTCCTGCTCCTTGGGTGGAAACCTACGGGGCCTTTGTCTGATTGGAAGACTATCCCCTGTGTTGATGTGATGTTTGACAAGGCCAGTCTTTCCAATGTCTGAGTCCGAAATTGCGAAAATGTCTTGGTTCTCGCACAGTAGCTTGGCAATTCTGTCATGGAAGACCTTGTCTATCCCTCTCTTGCTTCTTTCAAAGAGATCTACGAGATGGTCTGGGACTGTATGATTATCGGTTGTTGGTAAAGGTTGGCCTGGAATTTCTTCAATGTCCTCCCCGCTGATGGGTGTTAGATGGCCGGCAAGTGTACCTCTGCGAATTACGCATGCCTTCTTTCCTGGGTTGAAGACTCGAACAGGGAGGGTTGTTTCCGTCCTTTCTACAACTACCCGTGCAACGATGATGCCTTTGTTCAGGAGCTCGCTACTCTCCGCAGGTTCAATGAGACCTAGACCTGTCCCATCTTGCAGCCCTGTCGTGTAGCCTGGAACAATAACCTCATGACCTGGTGGCACCCTTGTAGTTGCCCCTATCAATACTCTGGAGCTAAATGAAACTCCTCGTGCATCCGTACATTTGATTCTCTCTCCCTTGAGCCGCAGTTCCTTTGTCTTCAGATCGATAATACACCCATTTGGTTCCATGAAGTCCAGCCCAAGTAGCCCGTCTACCTGGTCGGTATTGCCGAAGACTACTTCTAGTGGAAAGATGCATGTTCCTACACCAAGCTCCAACCATGCACTACCTAGCGTTTCCATGCTACTGCCATCTGCATTGCGAACTCCCACTTCTGTCAAGTCTGGCCTATTAGTTGAATGTATCCGATAGTACACGGATGAAGATAAAATGGTATCGGTGGCACCTGAATCTACCAACAACCTTGCTTTGATTCCCCTTATCTCCACTTCAGCAAAAAGACCACGTCGTGCTTTATCAGATATGTAATTCCTTGAAGGATATTCTCGAGGAGATGGAGGTGTGTCAGTTACATGCCCTGGTGTCCGTCCAGCCTCCCCTCGGGCCTCTGGGTTGGCTGAGCCCCGTTTCCCGAAGGCCTCCTGTATTCTCTTGCGTGAGGGCAGTTACGCCTAAAATGCCCCTTCTCATGACACTCGTAACATTCATCTGTGGCTGTTGGTGTTCTCCGCCTGTACGAGTTGGGTCTCTCCCGTCTGAATTCTTCTGACTTGATGGGTCGTTCCTGTTTGGCGATTCTCTCATCTATTCTCTTCAGCTCTCTCCAGATTTCATTGATCGTAGCTGCTGAATCAGTGTCAACGGCCCTTGCCTGCTTCTGCCTCCTGCCAGATCGTTGTTCCTCGAGTCTGAAAAAATTATCAGTTGCCAAGGCCGCCTGGATGGCTTCATCCATAGTTGTTGGCTTAGATCGAAAGACCCCTTCCCTGATGGATTGGTCCTCAATCGCCTCTGCAAAGTGTGTCCTTGCCAACCGATCCTGGGCTTCTTCAGTAAGTTCCGGGTATGCCAACATGGATAACTCCCGTATGGCCTGACCCAGTTCCTGGAGGGTCTCTCTGGGCCCTTGGCGTCTGTAACGCAGTTCAAGGAGGAAGTTCTCTGCCAACTGGCCTGGGCCAAATCTCTTCTCTAGAAGAACTACCAGGTCTTGGTATGCGATTCGAGAAGTGTCAGCTGCCTTGCTGCCCAAGATCTTCAGTGCTGATCCCCTCAGACTTGCTGCTAGGAAAACCTTTGCCTGGTCATCACCCCAGTTATTGGCGACCTTGCAGGCTTCAAAATGGCTGAGGTAATCCCTCCAAGGTGTCCTCCCATCGAATTTGTCGGGCGATACATTTGGCTTAGACAGTGTAACAGGTGACCGTACCCCTGGAACTTCGCTCCTGTGTCGCTGGTAGTGAGGAATTGATGCAAGAACATCTGAAGCATCCAAATCTTGCCTATGTAAGAAGCCTGTTCGTAGCCCATCTGCCCGACGAACGGCTGTTGATGTTTTACTTGGAGACCACTGTGCAGCATGAAGTTCCTTCGCCTCAGCAGCTGCAGTCTGCTCGTGTGCCACCTTCACTTGCGTTTGATCCTCTAGGCATCCATGCATTGGTGATTCAGGTCCCTTGGGATTGACCAGCAAGTTATCATTCATTGTGGTCGCATGAGTCTCCGTTGACTCATGTTCCCGTCTACCAGCAGTGGGTGGTGTTCCACTCTGGGACTGGTTAGGGAAACTTACAGGAGACTGATCGATATGCAGCCTTCTTACCTGCAGTCTGAGAAGCTGATTCTGTTCTAATAATGACTGAATCTCTGTCTTGGACCGACGTAGATCTTCGTCGCCTCGCTGCACTTCTGCTGCAAGGACTTCTACCTCGTCCTCTATAGTCAGTCTCTGAGAAGCCATACCACAATGTTTCTTCCAAACACTGATGCTTTCTGCGTCGTTGTTGTGTGGAGGCGCCACAGAGTGATGTGTTGAAGCGATGAGGCGCTATCAGCCCTATGTCGTAGCAGTGAGGTGCTATAGAGCGCTGTGTTGAAGCAGTGAGGTGCTATAGAACGCTGTGTTGTAGCGGTGAGGCGCTATAGACCACCATGTTGAAGCAGTGAGGTGCTATAGAGCGCTGTGTTGAAGCAGTGAGGTGCTATAGAACGATGTGTTGAAGCGGTGAGGCGCTATAGACCACCGTGTTGAAGCAGTGAGGTGCTATAGACTGCCGTGTTGTAGCGGTGAGGTGCTATAGAACGCTGTGTTGAAGCGGTGAGGCGCTATAGACCGCCATGTTGTAGCGGTGAGGTGCTATAGAGCGCTGTGTTGAAGCGGTGAGGTGCTATAGACCACTGTGTTGAAGCAGTGAGGTGCCATAGACTGCCGTGTTGTAGCGGTGAGGTGCTATAGAACGCTGTGTTGAAGCGGTGAGGCGCTATAGACCGCCGTGTTGTAGCGGTGAGGTGCTATAGAGCGCTGTGTTGAAGCAGGGAGGTGCTATAGACCACCGTGTTGAAGCCGGTGAGGAGTTACCGTGTCGAGCTAATGCTCGATTAACCTTATTTTTGATAATCAGCTCTGCCGTATGCTGATCGAGTACCGTGTCTCGTGTCTGTTTTTATCCCACCGCTAGCCACCAATGTAACGAAAACGGGTCTCTCACTCTCTGGGTAGCGTCACTTCTTCAGTCAGAACCCGCTCTTTCTCTGTACTCGACGTTCTCACAAAAATATATTGTGCAACAGACACTCTCCGATCAGCTTACAATCACTTAACTAAATTAAGTTACCAACACAGGAAATAATATGCACTTACAGATCAAGTAATGTTTCCAAGAACTTTAATAATCTGAACTTCCAAACAAATTAAGGCACAACTTCCTTCTCCCGCAGCTCAACACAAACTCCCCACAAGATTAACCCCACGTACGCGCATCGCAGTGCGCGACGTAACCATAGCGACATCTACAATAACAATAAACAATTACAATAACTAACGCCCTCTAAGGGCTAGGTAATGTAAATAACGATTTCGTTACAATATAACTCTGTACTGTCAAGTCATGCTTGTTTCAATAAGTAAACTATAAAAGATATATACTGTGACACAAATTTGTTTACCTCTGGGGATAAGGCAGTCAGTGCGCATGTAAAAGGGTGATGTATGATTCGTCAATGTAAATGTATTTTGGCTTTGTTTATATTATGAGGTGGAAATGTTTTGATTCTGAATCTGGAAAATCTGAAGTCACATGGCATTACATTATAATTGTCTAGTGATAAGGGAGCCTGAGTCTGCTGGCAAGGACTGGAGTCAGTAAGACTTGGTCGCACTAAATGTTTCAGGAACCAGTGGGCCATAGGGGAATTTTCCCCGACTACGAAATGTAGCTAGCTCGACGGATCTTTAAGTCCGATCACAATAGCCGGTTTTGCCCCTATCTTTCCTCGCGCAGCAGGAGTAGCTCCAAACAGTTTAGAATGCAAATGCATTAACACCTCAACATGAAATGTATAGTTACCCAACTTTAATGCATGACACAAGTGTAGAAGTGAACGGCAATGAGCATAGTTCATATGATGATATCATAGGTGTATGGTTAAATAGGTCAGGATGAATACCTACAGCAACCGGGGGAGAAAGTAGGAGATCTCACGAGATCTGTTTAGAAGCTGAATCTAGTTTTTAAAAAAAAAAAATAATAATAATAATAAATTAATTAATAATCACAAAAAAAAAAAAAAAAAAAAGGTATTGGGTGGAGGTTTGAATTTTATATAATTTAATTTGAACACGCCGGACTGCCAATATCTTTGGCCAAGCAGGCCGGGATACGCGTCCGCGTTTAGGAGTGATGAGGGGGACAGGAACCCCAAGAAGAGGGGGATATCAGCGGGAGTTACTATCCTGCTGGTGGATCACGTTCAGAGCCCCATGAATTGGGGGGCTACCGGGAGGAGCTACTATCCTTTCTGGTGATCACGTGACCAGAGATCCTCAGGATTATTCTGAAAAATTAATTCTCACAGTTTGATAGTGCAGATAGGATTATATTACATGTATTTTGGTTTTGAGTTTCGCAGAATTATGTTCCTGAGTTTTCATGTTCGTACATAGCAATTTGCATCATGTATGTGTATTGGTATTACAGGCAGATATTGCCTATTTTAAATGTTAACGCCTTGAAGCGGAAATAAATGTCGAGCAATTGCAATTCATGTTCTCATGTTGACTCATGTGGTGTGCATGTGAACATTTTCTAGTGCGGAAATAATTTGGCAAAGTTATGCGTGCAAATGAGCGCGCTTTGAATAGCCATTCTCGCTTCATTTTCCGTTCAAGGCAGTCGATTGTTCCCCCCCCCCCCCACCCATTCCCAAGTGACTATTTAGGGTTCACACGTTACGAGGTTGTGTAACAACGAATGAGGAATAGTTAAGTGTGGGTTTGTTACTCAGACATGTTTGAAACAGTTAAAGACAATGATGTATTATGGTTGTTAAGTGGACATGATCTATGCACACATTCTGCTCCAAGGCCAAAGATTGGGGAGCGAGGTAGTTGCAAATTCTTGTACATTAAGGTGGATTTAATTGGGCATGTCTGAAAATAGGAAATAGTCATAACCTTCTCCATAAGTTGGTACATAGTTCAAGCCTTAGTCCCGAGTCAAGAACCACAAAGGATTTAAGCTGGAGTTATGTTGGAGTGACATATATCAGGGCAGAGGTCACAGTGGTTATGTTGCCTGCACTGGCCATAGCCTGCCTTAAGGTTAGGTGGTTAGGAGAAAGATATGGGGCAGGTATTTTGGCACAGGAATAGTATTAACATTACGAGGTGGCAAAGTTCAGATATGGAGATACTGGGCGTGGAGGTTATGCTGCATATTGTGTATTGTTTAGCTTTGATCATGCAGTTAGTTGGAGGGCCGGGCAGGAAGTGCCCAGGGTAGGATGTACGTGTATTTAGCACTATGTTAGTGTAAACACTTTGAGTAAGGTTCTGGTGGTCTTGAAGTCTTAAACTGAGTCTATTACATTTTATTAGTGACACCCTGTTAAGGTTGGGAGGTTGGGCTGCACGGGGAGTTAATCCTGTTCACAGGTCATTGTCACACATCGTTTTAAGGTTGGGAGGTTGGGCTGCACGGACAGTTAAACCTTGTAGTTATCTACAGGACTTTTTCACATGATTTACGGATGGGAGGTTGGGCTGCATGGACAGTTAAATCCTGTATTTATCTACAGGTCACTTTCACATGATTTACGGAAGGGAGGTTGGGCTGCATGGACAGTTAAGTCCTGTATTTATCTACAGGTCATTTTCACATGATTTACGGATGGGAGGTTGGGCTGCATGGACAGTTAAATCCTGTATTTATCTACAGGTCATTTTCACATGATTTACGGATGGGAGGTTGGGCTGCATGGAGAACTTAATCCTGTGTTTAATTACAGGCCATTATCACATGTCTTACGGTTGGGAGGCTGGGCCGCACGGAGATTTTAATCCTGTGTGTCAAGTTACAGGTCATTGTGACGTGTTGTTTTATGGTTGGAAGGTTGGGGTGATTGGAGAGATCGATCACGAGTATACATGTAATTATCGTTATATGTATGTTTTTGTAGATGCTTTCAAGGTTAGAGAATACATATTCATTCAGAGAACAAGGATGGTAGTTTAAGTCAGTTACGGTATAGAGGTTTGAATTTTATATAATTTAATTTGAACACGCGGGACTGCCAATATCTTTGGCCAAGCAGGCCGGGATACGCGTCCGCGTTTAGGAGTGATGAGGGGGACAGGAACCCCAAGAAGAGGGGGATATCAGCGGGAGTTACTATCCTGCTGGTGGATCACGTTCAGAGCCCCATGAATTGGGGGGCTACCGGGAGGAGCTACTATCCTTTCTGGTGATCACGTGACCAGAGATCCTCAGGATTATTCTGAAAAATTAATTCTCACAGTTTGATATTGCAGATAGGATTATATTACATGTATTTTGGTTTTGAGTTTCGCAGAATTATATTCCTGAGTTTTCATGTTCGTACATAGCAATTTGCATCATGTATGTGTATTGGTATTACAGGCAGATATTGCCTATTTTAAATGTTAACGCCTTGAAGCGGAAATAAATGTCGAGCAATTGCAATTCATGTTCGTACAGTTGCTTTCTTCACAAAATTGCTCAACAATTGTGGAAGAAGTTCGCTCTACAATGGTTTTATATAAAAATGGCATATTTTTGGTGCAAAGTTGTGGTAACCATAGTAACACCTTATCCAATATACACAACAAATATGTATTGCATATCCTCAGCTCAAGAGCATCACGTTTCATAAAAATTGCTCAAAAACTTAAATTAGCTCGCTCAACAAGGTTTTTATATCACAATGGCATATTTTGGCGCAAAATTGAAGTTACCATGACAACGCTTTATCTAGCATACACAAACAATAAGTCTTGCACATCCTTACTACAAAAGCATCAAGTGTACCAAGTTTCATCAAAATAGCTCCAAAATTGTGGAAGAAGTTCACTCCACAAGGTTTTGATATCATAATGGCATATTTTTTGGAGCAAAACAGTGGTTACCATGGCAACGTCTTATCCGACATACACAAAAATTATGCTTTACACAGCCTCACCTCATCTAGTTAGTTGCAACTGGTCCAGTTGATGAACCAGTTAATGTCAACTGGTAACCCTGGAAATTGAAATGGGCTAAATGATCCAGTTGATCCAGGCCAGTTAGAATTCAACTGGTCTAGCTGAGCCAGTAGAACAATTTGGTAAAAGTTCCAACCAGTTGAATGGCAACAACACTTCAATACTGGTACGTCTGTATTTCCAATGTAAAGGCATTGGTAATAAGTAGACTTAAATAATTTAATTAATCGAACATTTTTCATATACTTGTATTTTATTGAAATTATTTTAGTTCATAGGTAATGTTTCCCTTAGTCATATTTAATTAAATGTAATTTATACGAAGTAGCGAAATGTCCTAATAACTGGTAATTTATATTTGTAGTATTTTCGAAATGAATTGCATTTAACTAAATCATCAGTAATTAAGAAATATGCTGTAAATAGATCTGCACGCACCCCATATTCAATATGAAAATTAATTGGTGTCAACTGGTTCAACTGGAAATATGCCAACAGTCACGAGATTATCACCACGGAACTTAAATGGTAACTGTGAAACCATCAAGACACCCAAAAATAACTCATTTTTCACACCTAAAAATCACGGATGCCCAGCTTAGATTAATCATCCGTTTGAGTCACGAGATCATCACCCCGGAACTTATGGCAACTTTGCCTACCATTTAAAAAGGTGTTTTAAGACACCTAATAATGACAAAATTTTCACATCTGAATATCACGGATTCACAGCTTAAATTAGTAATCAACTTGAGCCACGTGATCATCACCAAGAAAGTTATGGTAACTTTAAAACCATTTAAGGCCCGGTCACACAGAGGGGACGCATTTGGAACGCACGGCCAGCGCATTGGAAATTTGCAATTTGGGCCAGTGTGTTGTCGTGCGCCCAACTTTTGTCGAAGCTACAACGAGCTGACACCAAATGCATAGCGTGTTGCTAGCGCGCTGACCGTACACAGAGCGCACATAATAACAACTTCCACGAATGCACAGCGTGTTGCTAGCGCGCTGGACGAATGGTCCACGCATGCACCGCGTTCTCAACATAGGTGGTCACATATGGACGACGCACAGCCGGCGCATTGGAAATCGGAAAAGGCCGTGTGCCCAACTTTTGTCATGATTTTGGAAAAGCTGGCGAGCTGACACAAAATGCACAGCGTGTAGCTAGCGCGCTGTGCGTATACAGGGCGTGTGCTCCGCGTATGTCTGGCGCTGGTCTAGCGCGCTCCTCGCATGTCTGGCGTGCCTTTGGCGTGTACATTCATGCATCGAGCTCCGCGCACACTTTTGAGCATGCTCAAAAAATCCCGACGCACACATCGAATGACGACGAATGCATAGAGTGGGTCCAGCGCGATCGACGAACGAGTAACGAATGATGACGCACGCCTAGCGAACGACAACGCACTGGCCAAAATTGCAAATTTCCAATGCGCTGGCCGTGCGTCCCCCATGCGTCCCCTCTGTGTGACCGGGCCTTTAAAAGAGGTATACAACTAGAGATTCACGGACAGAATAATAAGACGATTAGCCGGTGTAAAGGCCCGGTCACACAGAGAGGACGCATGGGGAACGCACGGCCAGCGCATGGGAAATTTGCAATTTTGGCCAGTGCGTTGTCGTGCGCCCAACTTTTGTCGAAGCTACAGCGAGCTGACACCAAATGCATAGCGTGTTGCTAGCGCGCTGAGCGCATACAGGGCGCATACAATGCGCATACATCCGTGCACAGAGCGCACATGATAACAACTTCCACGAATGCACAGCGTGTTGCTAGCACGCTGGACGAATGGTCCACGCATGCACCGCGCTCTACGACGCACGGCCCGAACATTGGAAATCGAAAAAGGCCGTGTGCCTAACTTTTGTCATGATTTTGGAAAAGCTAGCGAGCTGATAAAAAATGCACAGCGTGTAGCTAGCGCGCTGTGCGTATATAGGGCGTGTGCTCCGCGTATGTCTGGCGCTGGTCTAGCGCGTTCCATGCATGTCTGGCGTGCCTTTGGCGTGTACATTCATGCGTCGAGCTCCGCGCACACTTTTGAGCATGCTAAAAAAAAAAACCGACGCACACAGCGAATAACGGCGAATGCATTCCGCTGTTCCAGCGTTGGTCCAGCGCGCTCGACGAATGAGTAACGAATGATGACGCACGCCTAGCGAACGACAACGCACTGGCCCAAATTGCAAATTTCCAATGCGCTGGCCGTGCGTCCCTCATGCGTCCCCTCTGTGTGACCGGGCCTTCAGTAAGGTGATTATTACCATCAACCTTGAATAACCTGTGAAACCAATCGATAAAGGTGCTTAAAAGACCAAATAATTGCTTAATTATCACCACCATCGGTTAACGGATAAAAAACTCATTGCTTGGTCAAGTGGATATTTGGTCATAAACACTTGATTTACAGAGGTAAATGGAATCACGTTACTCCAGTCGCGTGATAAATTGGTGGTTTTTAGGTGAGATGAAAACGTGAACAGGAGTACCTTTTTAAATTTAGTTCAAAAGGCACACTCGTTTTTAAGTATAAACAGTACTTCACTAGATTTTTTTCAAAAAAAAAATAAAAACTTACTTGTACAACTCCTCTTAAATTGTGAAAGTCTAACAGAGCAGCGCCTTGTATCCTTTGGAGAAGGTGCTATATAATCAAAATTATTATTATTATTATTATTATTATTATTATTATTATTATTATATTAGTTCTATACTGTGTTTACCTTCGCTTGTGAGCTTTGGTCATTTTCATTCTGTTCAGGGCCAGGATGTTAAACAGATTTTGTACGTACAGTGTTTATCGAATTCTTGTTATCCTGATTATTTATATTTCAATAAATACAAATAAATAAAATCAACACAAATCAATTTACTCCAAAATCAAGATGAATCGATGACTTGCTGAACTAACATTTCTCATGTCAGTGTGTATGTCAACAGCAAGAGAAAGGAAACTATTTACATTATTGCAAGTCTCTGCGTTCATGTTTATCACTATTTTTTTAAATAATTGTTATCGCAGGATTTTTTTCGAGAGGGGGGGGGGGTTAAAATTTGAAAATCGCGCCGAAAATTTAGCAACGACTCAGCCTGCCGCTGAATAAGCGGGGGGGGGGGGGTGGAGCATAAGAGCACCTTTTTCTTTGTCACCCTTTAGCACAAAAACTTTTTTTTTGTTAAATAAATTAATTTAAGGGGGGGTTCTTCCAAAACGCACACATAAACAAATATATTGAGAGGGGGTTCGACCCCCTCCGCTCCCCCCCCCCCCCCCCCCCCCCCTCTGCGTACGAGCCTGTCTATTACAAAGGATGTTTTTGAATGAGATTGTATATGCATAATCTTACACTGTATTGTTCCTCTCTTTCTCCGACTGTCTCTCTCTCCCTCTCTCTCTCTCTCTCTCTATTTCTCTCTTTTATTCTTTCTCTTGTCTCTCGCATTTGACATCTAGTGTGATGTACGGTTAGTCTATAATAATAATAATAATAATAATAATACTCAGTTTTTGTATAGCGCCTATTAGAATCGCTAAGCGCTCCCAAACTTGGAGATTATTACCCCGGCTTTAGCTGTGCTGCCATTGCGGCGCTCTAGCATTTCAAAGAATTAATTCCTGCCAGGTACCCATTTACATCACCTAGGTTGAGTGTGGCAAATGTAGATCAATGTCTTGCCAAAGGACATAGTGCCGCAGCGGGTCTCGAACCGCGGACCTTGTGACCTATAGGTCTGCTAGCAAAAATATACAGTTTTTTATCTGAAATTGTTAATAATTGATAAATGATTGATTTTATATCCAGTGGCTGTGATTTGTACTATTTATATGTCATTGATTGTTGTTATGTACATTTTCTAGAATATATTCAAGTAGGTATTGTCTGTCGGGAGCCAAGGGAGTACACATAACACGGTTTGCATTCCTCTGGCTCTCAAGTTCTCAACAGAGAAATTAAATTATATTACATTGATATGTTATTTATGTTATTTGTAGTTATTTGTTCGTGATATGTTAATACATTGTTATATTTTATACAAATGTGAGTCGTAAGATGATTCTCATGCCTTCCTTTATTTGTGCATGACAATACATAATTTTATTCTATTCAAAATATAGAAGTGATAAAAAAGGGGCCACACTCACAAAAGGGGGAAAGGGGGGAAAGAGGAAGAAAAAGAAAAGGCAGCATATCAAAATATGCAAATCATGTATCCAAAGTAACGATCACTATTATTTTCTTCTGAATAGGAAAAACATCGCAGAGGTCGAGATTTACTTTGCCGATATGAACGAGCATCATACCGATAGCGTGGCCGCCTACAGTGCAGCCGATTTGTGGGGTAAAGTAGAGACATATTGAATTCAAACATACCATACAAACCATACATACCATGAAACTGGTTGAATTTTGCTGCGTTACCCATTGGTTTACGTGTTAAAATTTCCTTTGTGCGAGCACCATACAATGCTTTTT